ACAAAGTAGTTATGGTGCCTAAACCTAACCAAACTGCGACCATTTAGACGGCGTGTCCTATAGTACTCACGATTCGATTTGAATACGATTATCCTGTCAACGATCACGGTGCATCACCTCTAGGGGTGGTACTCTCTAGGCACCTTACAATTATGAGGGCTACAATGCGTTTGTAAAATGATTAGGATAAAGATTTATTTTTCTCATTGTGTGACTACTTGGAACGTTTAATGCAAAATGTTTGTAATGATCCAACCAAGTAGGTAGTAATGACATGAGGCTATTTAACATTACTTCCTATAAACATAGCTAATGTTATATAGCATTATTAGGAGTGTAATTACTGACCTGTTGCTATTTTTATTTCTTATTCACAGTGTTAACACTGCCTTAATAGCTGCTTTTTTTGGTTTTGTTTAGTGTAGTTACATGGTTGTGCTATATTGTGTCTTGTCTTGTAAGCTGATTATTGTGATCCACCACTCCTACTACTTGGTCTGCTGGAGGCAGCAATGTTGTGATGTTTTTTTTTTTTACAGTATGAGCAATATTCAAATGTTGATTTAGAATTCATGTAATTGAACATCAGTTTAATTATTCTACTTGTGATCTTGTAATGCATATCAATACATGAAAAATACTGAGATTAATTTTTGTAATATTGATTTCAACCATATAGCCCAGCCCTAATGACTGACTGGAATATACATCACAGGCCAGTGTATGTGCAGATCTACCGTACGTAATAAAGTATAGATGCTTGATTCCCTCCTTCCTGTATGTGACCTTTTTATGGAGTCAACATTGCTCTGGAAGAAACGCAGAAATAGAGACTCTCCTGTTTTTTGTCTTCCTTTTTTGAATAATGTCAAGTGCTAGAAATAAAATATCCTATATACAGTGTGTACAGTCTTCAGAATCTATCTGGGTCTTGCTAGATACATATACAGTACGTGATTTTCTGAATGCTTAGTATTTTCTGTGAGTATAAACTTCAGATTAGCAAACCACAGGGTATGTAACGATTGGTCAGCTCGTTAAACTATTAACTAATTTTCTCTGGGGGATCTGCTCGAACGTTGTGCTTGAATGTCAGTTACTTGTGTGAGGCCAGGGCCATCAACAAGTTACTTTTTCATGATAATCAGTTCAAGCACCTGTTGTGGATCAGAAGGTGACAGGGAAAGAGAATCTAACACTAAAAGGTAGTGATGGGCAAATGAAGCTTTTGTGAAGCACTGAACCACCTGAGCAAATTGTTTCAAAAATGGGTTCATTACTCGAAGCTTCAGTTACAGTGACCTCTCCTGGCGAAGTTCAAGGCTGCAGGCAAATTAGACAGGCTAGCTGCTGGACAGGAGGCTTTTAATTACATACCCGCACGCCCCTCGATGAGCAGTGCTGGAGAAACTACTTTACTTTTTGTAGAAAACACCATTAGTTATAAAGAACCTTTGCTTTAATCACCCTTGGATTTAAAGTATATTTACTTTGAAAATTCTTTGATACACACACATTAAGACTGAACATCATGTTCAAATAAAGATTGATGAATGCATGTATTTTGTTATTGAGGGGAGAGTGCTGGGAAATATGGCACAGGTTGGATGTGCTTGTGTAACTATGACAGGGGGTGAATGTGTTCGATGGGGTGCACAACACTCACTTTCGAGACGATCGAGGCAGTGCCAGTGAATCATGTGACTGGACCGCGAACCAGTTGGTGATTCATTCAGTAATTTAAGCAGTTGCTGCTTTGGATGTCACGTGATTTTTTTTTATTTTTTATTTTTATTTTTTTTCACACCAAAGCAAGCTTTGAAGCAGTGGTTCAATAGGATTGTAGTCCAGGGGTTTGAAGCATGTATCGAAGCTTCAGTGTCGCACTGCCATCACTACTAAAAGGTAAACTCGAGGAGAACTTCCCCACGTGCCTTTCACAGTAGGATAGGTCAAAAATGAGCCACTGGATTGTTTTCACCTACTTCACTCTCTGTCCCTGTCTTTCAGAATAAAGCGGTGTAAGGACTACTATGAAGTACTGGGCGTCAGTAAAGAAGTCAATGAGGAGGAGCTAAAGAAAGCCTACAGGAAATTGGCGCTCAAGTTCCACCCAGACAAAAATCATGCACCTGGAGCAACAGAGGCCTTTAAAAGTAACAAATAAGATAATATCTATTCTAAGCTTGTTGGAACTTACCTCACATGTGATATACAAATACTGTGTATAACACAAACTTTGAATATTTAAGCATGGTATTTCAAAAAAACAAAAGTCTGTCTGAAATGTTTATGTCCATAGCTTATTCCCCTCTTTGATACATCAACTGTGTCCTCCTCCAGAGATTGGTAATGCATATGCAGTGCTGAGCAACCCAGACAAAAGGCGGCAGTATGACCTGACAGGAGGGGAGGAGCCGAGCAGCCCGGGTCACTCACACGGAGGAGGCTTTGACTTCCACAGGGGCTTTGAGGCTGACATTACTCCTGAGGACCTCTTCAACATGTTCTTTGGAGGTGGCTTCCCCTCCTGTAAGTGAGCACTTGTGTGCATATAGATTCAAACACACAAGGTTCAAGGTTACTGATAAGTTAACGTGACTCCTCAATACCCAGATTTTGTGTTTTATCATCAAAATGTATTGATTTTATTCATATATTACAGTGATGATTTATCTTATCAATTTAGTAGTTAATGATTTTGTCAGTCAGAAATATAACCATGTTATTTAGGCTTTTTGGTGAATCTTTAGATCCTCAGATAATAACTTTTATGGGTTCAGTCAATGGACTACATCATGTGGTACAAAGAATTCACTCATCAAATGCACTTGAATGTGGCTCTAAAGGATGACTGGTGCATCATATCTGACCTCAGTCATAATATTTTTGTCTACAGCAAGTGCACACACCTTCACCAACAGCAGAACAAGCTACAGCCATCAGACGGATTATCGACAAGAGAGAACAGAAGAAAGGGGAGATGTACGTAGATGAGTTCAGATTTTGCATCATTATGTTAATTAAATTAATATTTTTTATTCGCGCAAATATACGTTATAATTTCAATTGATGTGCAGCCATAGAAACAACATTCTTTGACTGTACATTACCATAAGTTTGTGTTACTTTATATGACATATGTCATTGTACTGTGTTTTCCTCTAGGGTGGTTTCTCAATGTTTATCCAGCTGATGCCCATCGTGGTCCTGATTTTAGTGTCAATTTTGAGCCAGATGATGGTGTCCCCTCCACCCTACAGCCTGTACACTAGACCGTATGTGCACACACATTTTTCTGTTTTTCATCGCTGAGGAAAACTTTTAGGTAGCTAATCACAACTTTTCTGTTCCATTCACTTAAGAATTTAGTGCATGTCAAAGAGGCTGGTTGACAACTAGAAAGTATTTTGTCCTCCTCCTACCTTGTTGACATGTACTATGAAATGTTGACCTGGGATCTCTGGGATCCCTGGTGGTGGTTTTATTCCACCTTTCTAACATTTGTATTCACTGACAATGTGGTCTTTTCACAGTAGTTCTCCATGTCACCTACAATTTCAATTATATAAAATACATTCAGGATTCAACGTATGTGGGGAAATTACTACAGTTCGTCACCATTTTCACAGCTTGTACTTCCTCCATCTCTTGCAGGTCCACAGGTCAGACTGTAAAACGGCAGACAGAAAACCTGCATGTCGACTACTACGTCTCCAGAGATTTCAAGTCAGAGTTTAAGGGCTCAGCGCTGCAGCAGATTGAGAAAAATGTGGAGGAGGACTACGTATCTAATGTCCGAAATAACTGTTGGAAGGAGAGACAGACAAGTGAGTAACCATGGTATTTAATACACCCTCAGAGCTAGCTAACTGAATTGAGTAATTATTTTCTGCTTTGCACTCTTGTTTCCTGGAGTCTTTGCTTTTCTCAGTCACTTGTTTTTCTGCTTGTCTCATCCAGAAACAGACCTGCTGTATGCTGCTAAGGTATACAGGGATGACCGAATGCGCAAGAAGGCAGAACTCATGACCATGGATAACTGCAGGGAGCTGGACAGACTAAATAACCTATTCAGAGGCGGATGAGCTGGATGCTTCTTAGATCATGTAAATGTCTGAATAGATGTGTATGTTCATGTTTTTTTTAAAAAAGAAAGTCTTTACACTAGGAGCAAAAAACTTGCTGAAATAAATTAGCTCTATTGTTGAAGTTTTAAAATGTCCTCAATCCCTCACCAACACCAACTCCTCTCCTTCCTCGCTACAACCTAACCCCAGGAATCGCCTTGTTACGTCTAAATGAACCAATCTACACGCACTGTAGAAAGCCCCAGACAGTTTTTTATGTTACTTTTTTTTTACTCTGCTTTTCATGTGTTTTCGTGGAAACAAGAAGGACAAGGACGCTTGATTGTAAAGGCATGTACCTCAAATAGTGAGAACTCGAGGCATTCTGCACAAACAAATCACGGCTTTTGGCATCATCATGCTTGACGTCTAAGATGGGAGACTTCGTAGGTTCATCTGGAGGAGCTGTCCTCCAGCCAGATCCATTTCTGGAAGAACACCGGAACAAAAGATGGAAATAAAATGACATTAATGCTTCTTTTAGCTTTCACTTCCAAGTATGAGTGAACATCGGCGGATCATGAAGAGATACATGTAATTTTGCTACTAGAGAACATTTTATGTCGTTCAAAACCCCCTGAGGTAAATTTGTGACATTGGGGTATATATATAAAAAATTTACTTGACATGACACTTCAAGATGTGAAGTTTGTTGGGACTAAAGATGGCAGGACATTGAAACTGTTATTCATAAATGGTTGTACATTTTCATTTTGAATGTTTGAAGTTTATGCAGTTATTTAAGTAACTATAGAAGAAATAACATTTTTCTTCAATGCTCGCGTAATCATTTAAATAAAGTAAAATTATTACCATAGACTGGATGTAGTTGTGTCTCTGATTCAGATGTCTAATGATCAAAATGAAAAAAAGAACCCTTTTCTCACTTGTGTGGTGGAATTCAGATATATTGGGACATAAGGTAAATTAGGACAGTATTGTACTTCTGCCCTTAAAAAATGTAGGCCAAAGCAACTGGTGCTGACCAAAATTACTGATATAATACATGTGACGACATGGCTGTCTGAAAATCTTGTCTCCCTATCTAGGGAGGACTAGTGAGTGATTTCGGACACAGCCCATGTGACGGGCGTTGTGCTCAACCTGGAAGTTGACTCCACAAAGAATGCTAAATTCTTGTTTTCGTAATAGCTTACAGGTGCCCTAATGTTGCACCTGGTCAGGGGTGGTAACTGTATAACTTATGAATCTTAATTAGTACGTGGTAGCTGCCAAGTGAGTAGTAACTTCTGAAATGTAGTGGAGTGCAAGTGTAAAGTAGCATAAAATATAATACTCAAAAAAAACAAGCTGCAGATGGAAATGTCTGTAGCTGTAGTTCTTAGCCTACTGAAAGGCTATTACTGCTCAGCTCCAAAATGTGGACCCGATTACAGTTAATTGTAACATTTTAATTTCAGCCATATACACAAAATGTGATTTATCAGAACTATTTTTAAATTGTATTAAAAAGTGTCTGTATGCTAAACTTAATTTTGGGACTGATGGTGGCAGCGGGGGAAAGTGGGCTGATTACCCAGGGCCCCAATGGGGGGAGGGCCTTTGAAAAGCCTGGAATGAAAGTTTTTTAGGTTATTATTTGTAAACATTTTTCAAAAAAGTTAGAGGCATGGACCAAGAGAGGAAGGGGGCCCACAGAGACTGCTTCTGTATAGGTCCCAGAATTTTGTGCTACACTCCAGGATGGTGGTATTCATCTGTGCCTTGAACTGTTGGAAATGAGGCCAGAGGTGAGCTGTGGAGTTAAGCAATGTTGAATAAATGACATAATGTTGCTGTTTTATTAACAAGAAAGGTAAACTGGCAAAATACATCGAAACTGCGTTTTTGTGTAGGGATGAAATACATTTTTTAAATATCACGGACTTGTATTTGGGTAGTTGAAAAAACATGGAGTAAAAAAACATTTTCTTCTAAAACACCATTTTTAAAGAGAAAAACATATGTTGTGTAAAATCAGATTTTTAAGAAAATATACATATTTCTACATATACATGACATAAATGAATGCCATTTACTAAAATAGACACTTGTAACATTATGCCTGCTGAGGTATTTATCAACATTTTTATGCGTGTCATTTTATTTTATAAAAGTTGTAATTTATTGAACCATACTTGAGACAGTCACACCACTGGACAATGTTGAGGTTTTGCTCAAAAATGTAACAAAGCTGGTCCTTGCGAAACAAATAAAACTTTAACCATTTACTGCACTTTAAATCACGACAAAATAATTTTTAGTAATTTTAATCCTCTGTGACAGTGAAATTGCCAGGTCACGTCAACAACCCATTTTTCTTTACTTTTGTCGCATCCTGTGACATCATCTTCATTGGTTTATCAGGGGTCACATGACAGAGTGAAACCCGGAAGCTATAGCCACAGCTGCGGCAGGTAGGCTCTTGCCTCCTATGTGTCCAGGTAGTGAAATGAAAACAAGCAGAAGTGAAACTTGAGATGCCATCGCGACAACATTTTGAGGACTAAATCCGCCTAAATCAAACCACTGTGCCGGTAAACGCTGTTTTCTGGCTTCGACGTTAAGTGGACTATGCACTACCACAGCTACATCTGTGTTTTCCTGTTGGGTTTGTATTCTTGGGGATGTCTCCCATGTGTCTCTGCCTGCAAACATGAGCCAGAGACTCCAGACTGGAGGATGACTTTGAAAACTATCCGTAACGGAATACACAAGATTGACACGTACCTGAATGCAGCACTGGATTTGTTTGGTGGCGATGACGGACTTTGTCATTATAGGTGCAGTGATGGTAAGCTAGCTTCTTTATTTCTTCTTTCAGGTCCTTTCTCACAGTGAGCAACTGATTTGTCAGACACATGTGTAACTAATAACTCTAATAGTGTTTGTGTTTTATTTAGTGAGTGTGTCAGGACCCCTTGTACCATCATGCAGCATGCTATGTTAAGATAGCACACCTAAACACCAAGGATAGTATTCATACCTGTGCTTTTCCTTGCTGTGTCAAGTCAAAATAAAAGTAGAGCTTTTGCTAAACTTGGGAGCCAGAAGATAAACATTACGCCCCTTGAGTGAACACCGTAAACCATTAAGTCTTCTGTGATCTGTCTGGTTATCTCTGACAGTAAGATAACTGACTGTGCCAGAACAAGAAACATCTTCATCTTTGCTCCTCTCTCACAGGTTACAAGCCGGTGCCTCGTCCCGGGTACAAGCAACCACCACCCAACGGATGTGGCTCCCCGCTGTTTGGATTTCAGGTAATCTAACATAGTTTGAGAGGGTGGAGGTTTTTACATGTCTGAGACAAGCAAAATTGGTTTACCATGTGATTCCTGACGTAGAGAACAATGCAAACTGCAGTATCCTTGTGCACTGAATGTTTCCTAATATTTTGTCTTTTAAAGTAGGATGTGAAGATTTTTACGTTGTGAATGTACTGTATGTGTAAACACATTCAAAACACAAGTTTAGTCCATATTACAACAAAATAAAATAGAGCCTCGCTGTTATATTGGTCCAGGTTGGTATTAGTGTAATACAGTCATGCCAGATATACAGATGGGTGTTGAAATAAAGTAAAAATCAACATTAAGTGTTTTACTATGGAGCCAGGCCACCACGAGCCTCCAGAACAGCTTCTGTGCTCCTAGCCAACTTCATGGAACTCTGTTGGAGGGATGAACACAGTTCCTCTACAAGATATTACCTCATCTATAGTAAGGATGCACCAATTCAATGATACTTTGGGTATCGGCTGATGCTGAGTACTGATCGGATACGAGTGTAAAATGAATAAGCTGTATTTCTCACTGTGAGGAAGAGACTGGGAATCATTCTTTTCAACATAAGGCTTGACTTTAACATTGCTTCCTAACTTTGTCTTACATGTTGGTCCAAAATCATCCATAGGTGTGAAACTGGTTTGAGATATGGTAACTGTAAAGTCAATTCAAGTCACTTTATTTATATAGCACATTTAAAAACAACAGGAGTTGACCCAAAGTGCTTTCCAAATCCAATATACACAAATACAAGTATACACGAATAAAAGGAATAAAGAGTATATACAATTGTGTCCAGGTACACAGTATACACAAACACTAGTGTATGTGTACAAATGTACACATTATTAAACAGAATAAGGAGTACTCGGTTAAAATCAAATTCAAGAAAAACTAAAAGGAAATCAATATGACCCACGTCAGATTAAAACACTGTGAGAGTACGTTTAATGAAACGAAATAATTCAAAAGTGAGCCTGACAAAAACCATTGAGTCAGAATGAGGTAAAAGCTGGAGAAAAAAGGAAGGTCTTTAAATTAGATTTGAAATTCTCAATGATGGGGGCTTAATGTCGGACAAGAGACTATTCCTAAGTCTGGGGCAGCAACAGAAAAGGCTCCTTTGGTTGTAAGAGGTGAGTAGGGTACTAGTTGTTGTGAGGATGACCTAAGCGGTCAGGCTGTAAAGGCTATAGCATTTTATTTACATCATTTTCATACAACATACCATTCAGTGAGTGCAAGGAAGCATCTGGATTTAATAGATCATTTACCATACCATTGTCCACCCACGAGTGTTTTTAAGTTTATTTTCAACTATGAGATGAACACACCTCTTTAATAACCAAATTTAAGGGATCATTTTTAAAAATGTTTAGTTATCTTATGCATTAACATAAAAAAAACTGATATCAGCCAATACATTGTTATTGCAATCGGGCTTCAGTAAAAAATACTAAATGCTAGACCCAAATTAGCTAGATACAGATTTTTTCCACACATTTGATCATGTGATATAAAGTAGAACATGAAGGGCTCTCTTTTTGTGACTCATTGTTATATTTCGCTGGACCATTATCACGTCATTTTATCATAATATTTAATATAATCCACGTCTCCTGCAGGCAGTATAATTTGAATGTCAGTTGAAAATCCATTATAAAGAGTGACAAACCTGTTTTTTTTGTTGGTTTTTTTTGCAGTTTGACATAGGCATCCCGTCCATGACCAAGTGTTGTAACCAACATGACCGCTGCTATGATACCTGCGGCCGTGAGAAACACGACTGCGATGAGCAGTTCCAGGATTGTCTTGAGACCATCTGCAGGAATGTGCAAAGGACTCTGGGATTGGCCCAGAGTGTCCAAGGTGAGAGGCTGAGGATGAGATGGAGATTCATTTAGTATTCAAAATACTAAAAAATACAAAAATCTGTTTAATATCAATCAATAATCACTAGAAAAATCATAATATATTTTCTATGTAGTTAATTATTTATATTTTGTTAATACTGTGTGATGTTTTATTACTGTGTGGGTATATACAGCACTTCATTCCTAGTGGTGACCCATAATGGAAATGAAGAGATTTACACATCACAGTAGGTGAGGAAGCACAGGTGTAAATAAGAAGACACTGGTGGCTGAATTACATTGGCTGCTCCAGTTTCAGGGCCCTGTTTCTGTGGAATGCTGGATCACTTTCATGACATTTGAATAATAACACTTTTCTTGTCATGACAAGTCAAGATGTCTGCTGTGAAGAAAGCCTTTTACTTGTACTCTGTATACCGTGGCCCTCCCTTGAGATGTGTATACTGAGTCAGGGTTAGCAGTCACTCAGCAGGACCAGTTTCCGAAGTACTACTGTGTATTTCAATACTGTATATTTACAGTTAGTGTTCCACAATAGCGTACAATGTAATCTCATGTTTTGTGTGCGCCTGACAATGCACTCTTCTTAAAAAGTGATGCACTGAACATTTTTACCACAAAATGTAGGCAAGAAGCTATGCTTGTAAAACAGTTTACATTTACATCTAATAAAATGAACATATTAATCTCTGCTGTACTTAAAGGATAAATAAGGAAAGTTATAGAGCACGCTTGTGCATGTAAGTAAATAAGTGTAAAACACAATATGTCCAGCAGAGGGCAAGATAATGTAAATTTTTAAACACTGTGAATCTGAATATTGTTGTCGGATTCAAAAACTAACAGTTGTTCATCAAGACTGACTCATTACCACACTGTTAACTCTTAATTCACTGTAATAAGTGAATTAAGAATATATGTATTGTTCTAATCTTGTTTAAGGTTTTGAAAATGTTCCATGTTCTATATTTGAGAATCGAGATTTAGACTTTAATCAAACCTGTCTTGCCACCTGGTTCTCTATGATGCTCTACCTGTGAATATTGCTGTGAGGTGTTTTATAATTTCATTCTTAAAACAAAAGTAAACCCTAAATGAGATTTTAATCTACAATGAAAAATCGGTATCGCTCACTAAGCTGTATTTAGATTCACATAAAAACATTTTTGATTCACTTCCAGTAACGTGATAGCAGGTACCCGTTTTCAAACCAACTCACCTTTCCCCTGTTGTGTATTTGCTCACGTTCGTCCTCTTGTTTTTTCTCTCCTTGGCAGCTTGTGAGTCAGCAGTGACTCTGCTGTTTGACGCTGTTATGCACTTGGGATGTAAACCATACTTGGACAGCCAGAGAGATTCTTGTGTGTGTCAGTATGAAGTGAAGAGGGAACTGTGACGATCAAGATTGTGGAACGGACTGATTCAAAAAGCACAACACTGACAGAAGGATGCCAGCAATAAACTTTTCTTTTAGACTTGTAGATTTTCTCAGGGACAGAGCCTCTTTGCCCTGCACTGACTTGTGTCCGTTGCCTCCCTTTATTGGAGTTTTGAAATTATTAGAAAAAATAGTGAAAATAGTTTTTAGAGTGGACAATTAATATATTTTCTATGCAGTTAATTATTTATATTTTGTTAATACTATGTAATGTGTTTGTCCTGTGATGGACTGGAAACGGTTTTCAGGGTTTCCCTTGTTTTTGGATGCTTGGGTAGCACCCATTACTTTATTTATAGGTTTTTAAATTCCTAATAATGTCTTAAGACGTTTCATGAAAAAAAAGGAATTTGGCACTGATTATAGGTAAAAGAGAGTGTTTATTTTGTACTCTTAAATTGATTAAATCAAATGAAATGCTAAACTAGCTAAACCAGGAGTTGCTTTTATTTTGTTAGGTTAGCCAAAAATGTGAGATTTGTCCACAGGCAAACAAATCATAATGTTTCTAATAATAAATGAATGATGAGTAGCTATTTGCTTGTGTGTAAATGGAGTTCTTCTTTTGAGGACTTTTCCCTGTAAACAGCACCAAATTTACATAAGGTCTTTCCAGGAAACTTTAAAGAAATGATTATGATATAATGGGCACCACTGTGGCCACACAGCAACAAGGTTGTGGGTTCAAACCCCGGTTGCCCAGGCCTCTTCTCCCCATGTCTGTGTGGGTTCTCTCTGGGTGCTCCGGCTTCGTCCCACCGCCCAAAGACGTGCGGCCTAGGTTGATTGGTGACCCTAAATTGTCTATGTGTGGACCGCGGTGAAATTAGTTTTAAGTTGGATATTCGACAGACATTCACCCAGGATCCAGTGAAGGCTTTTTAGTCAGTTCACCCAGTGACGGTTGTATAAGTGCGGTTAGCTCACCTCTGATGGCTCGCTTTTAACCAACGGGGGTTAGCTTAGGGACCATCAATAAATTACAATTGTGAGAACAGTGTTATGGGAGAATCATTATTTATTTCAATAGCTTCCAAGTCATATGACACAGGGACTTCAAACCAATGCCGAATTGTAGTACTACACTGGGCAAATGAGACACACCCCTTCATATTTGATTTGAGTGCATTTTTTATTTTATATTAATATTTATTCATAATTTATTGAAAAAAATGCTGTTTTTTTTCAATAGCTTCCAAGTCATGTGACACAGGGACTTCAAACCAATGCCGAATTGTAGTACTACACTGGGCAAATGAGACACACCCCTTCATATTTGATTTGAGTACATATTTGAATTTATATGAATATTTATTCATAATTTATGTAAAATAATGCCTTTTTTTTTCAATAGCGTCCAAGTCATGTGACACAGGGACTTCAAACCAATGCCGAATTGTAGTACTAGACTAGGCAAATGAGACACACCCCTTCATATTTGATTTGAGTGCATTTTTTATTTTATATGATTATTTATTCATAATTTATGTAAAATAATGCCTTTTTTTTCAATAGCGTCAAAGTCATGTGACACAGGGACTTCAAACCAATGCCGAATTGTAGTACTACACTAGGCAAATGAGACACACCCCTTCATATTTGATTTGAGTGCATATTAAAATTTATATGAATATTTATTCATAATTTATGGGAAAAAGTGCTGGTTTTTTTCAATAGCGTCAAAGTCATGTGACACAGGGACTTCAAACCAATGCCGAATTGTAGTACTACACTAGGCAAATGAGACACACCCCTTCATATTTGATTTGAGTGCATTTTTATTTTATATGAATATTTATTCATAATTTATGTAAAATAATGCCTTTTTTTTCAATAGCGTCCAAGTCATGTGACACAGGGACTTCAAACCAATGCTGAATTGTAGTACTAGACTAGGCAAATGAGACACACCCCTTCATATTTGATTTGAGTGCATATTAAAATTTATATGAATATTTATTCATAATTTATGGGAAAAAGTGCTGGTTTTTTTCAATAGCGTCCAAGTCATGTGACACAGGGACTTCAAACCAATGCCGAATTGTAGTACTAGACTAGGCAAATGAGACACACCCCTTCATATTTGATTTGAGTGCATTTTTATTTTATATGAATTTTCATTCATAATTTATTGAAAAAAATGCTGTTTTTTTTCAATAGCTTCCAAGTCATGTGACACAGGGACTTCAAACCAATGCCGAATTGTAGTACTACACTGGGCAAATGAGACACACCCCTTCATATTTGATTTGAGTGCATTTTTTATTTTATATGAATTTTCATTCATAATTTATTGAAAAAAATGCTGTTTTTTTTCAATAGCTTCCAAGTCATGTGACACAGGGATTTCAAACCAATGCCGAATTGTAGTACTACACTGGGCAAATGAGACACACCCCTTCATATTTGATTTGAGTGCATTTTTTATTTTATATTAATATTTATTCATAATTTATTGAAAAAAATGCTGTTTTTTTTCAATAGCTTCCAAGTCATGTGACACAGGGACTTCAAACCAATGCCGAATTGTAGTACTACACTAGGCAAATGAGACACACCCCTTCATATTTGATTTGAGAGCATATTCGAATTTTATATGAATATTTATTAGTATTTTATGGACAAAATTTTTTGCGTACATTTGTGAGATATGCAACTGTTTGTTTATTGCCAGGAAATTTTTGAAGAACACACCAATAAAACAAAATTTCAACAATTTAAGGCAGGTCTGTACAATGATTCAGGTTGACTAATATCCCAAGGAGCAGTAGGTGGCGATAATGCACCTGTACTTGAATGACAATCTCATATAATTTGCAAAGAAGAAGAACGAGGTAGAAGACAGTGTAGAAAAATAGACAACAAGGAAAAGGAGTTTGCTCTTTAAAAACAACATGGGGCGTTTCAAAAAAGGCCAGAGGCAGAGGAGTACAGATCTCTGGCAAAAAGCTGGAGGTAGAGATGTTATAATCAGGTCTTTCATTTTTCATGGTTTTACTGAGGTAAATATTACACCTGAACAGTGGAGCTCAGTCACACTTACTCTGTTTAAAAACAACAACAAAGATCATCTAAAGTGGTTGAAAGTCATATGGTTTGAAGACAGACGAGCAGTCCGGACAGAGGTGCTTAATGCAGGTACTGTTACAATTAAGTTGTTGAGCCCCCAGAAGTTTTGTAATATTAGCTTAATTTTTGGTTAGACTACATCAAACTAAAGCAATTTGGATGTAATTAATAGAAATAAAAAGGGAGTAATAGAATAGAAATTGTGAATTAATAGAAATTCACAAATTCTATGCTATTTCATGTCAAAATATTGGGTCAGTCTCCATCATAACCAAGAATGTCATTATTTTTTAAACCTATATTTATTCACTGTGGTTGAATTAAAAATTTGATTTGCTTATGTTTTTTAGGTTTGACATATTTTTTAGTTAATTTAGTAATTAGATTAATTACTTTTGGGATATTTTTATGTTTAGGAAAAGAAGTCACTGAGAGAGAAAGGCTTGAGGAGACAGCTAAAAAAGACGAACATTGCAAGGTTAAGAGAAAGGAGACAAGGAGCAAAGCTCTGCAGACAAGTAACAGACAAGAGAGCAGAGTAACTGACAAACCAGATAAAGACACGGACAATGGAGAAGAGCTTAGCAGTGTAAACATAGAACAGATACCAACAGGTGAAGAAGACAGGGACAGTACACCTGATGAGAGCAAAACGTGTACCACACAGCTGCAGCATGACACAGAGAGTCGAGAAGAGGACATAGATGCATATAAGAAGACTTTAGGCCAGACAAATGAAAAAGTCCTTCCTAAAAGTAAAAGTGGGAAAGGAAAGGGAAAACTGAGAACTAAAACAGATGATCACTTTGAGCAAACTGACTACAGAAAGTGCAAAGCAGGCCCAAAAGTGTTTAAAATTGTGATAACAAGAAAACAATGGAACAAAATTAAACCTAAACATGGGGGAACAAAACTCATTCCCCCATGGACCGATACATTTTATCATGCATTTCTGAAAAAAAATCCATGCTGTACACTTGCTTTTAAATATCAGCATGTCAAGACAAGCGATAGCCGTAAAAAGAATTCCTCATTTTTCCGTGCCTCAGCTCAATGTGCATTTGATGGATGCAAGGCTGTCTACGTTTTCTCCAAGAAAAACAAACCAAAATCAAAGGATAAAAATATTTCCTTTAAAGTGAAGCGCAATGGGGAAGTAACACACCATAAAAATCAAACACGATCTAGACCAGCAAAATACCTGCGAAGAGGGAAGATTGCCAAAGCTCTTACCAATGGTGTCAGTAATTATTATTACTGTATGCTGAAAAAGACACCTGTTGAAGAGATCATGGCTGGGAACATAACTAGAAGCCTCACCAAGGATGTTTTGAAAAAAATATCCTCTGAAGTGAGGAAGAGTGCTAGGCTCCATAACGACATGATGCTTGAACTCATGCTGACTCAAAAAGTAATTGCAGAGAGCAGCAGTCATGCATCATCAAAAGGCTATCTTCAGCACCTACAAATAAGTCCTTTTGCTGTACATTTACACACAGAAACTGGAATAAAGATTCTTGCTGAACACCTAAGAAGACCAACACCCATCACCCTCTACCTTGATGCTACAGGTGGCGTGGTTCAGAAAATCCCGGATCAAAATAAACGAGTGTTATATTATGCTCTCGTTTTGCCAGGCATGGGCAAAGACAAGCCTCCCTTACCTGTCACAGAACTGATTTCCAACAGCCATTCTATTCCATCTATTTCCCATTGGCTCATGGAATTCACAAGGAAGTTGTCTCACACAACAAAAAGACAAATAGCACAAGTCGAGACAGATTACAGCTGGGCTCTGATTAACAGTATGCTCATCTCCTTCAACAAGGAGAATATTTCAGTGTACCTTGCCAGAGCATTTGATATAGTGTCTGGACAAAGTGAACCTATTCCCCACTTCACTGTGCTGCATTTGTGCTCTGCCCATATCATGAAGGCTGTATCCCAAGCATTTGGCAAAAAAACAGGAGACAGAGGCATACATGAGTTTGCCGCATTCAGTTTTGCTTACCTCCTCAACTGCACAAGTATGCAGGTGGCCCTTGAAGTTTTTTATCACATGTGTGTGCTTTTTGATGCAGAGGAATACACTCATTCGGTAAACCAGAGCAAAATGTACCTCAACAAGTGTGTTTTGCAAACCCAGGACATGAAGCTGGAAGAAAGTGGACATGTCATTGGAGAGGAGGAAAGACCAAGTGAGAAACCTGCTGACAGTATTTTTGGAAAATCACCTTTCACACGTGCTTTTCAAGTCAGACGGGACCAAGCTGAGTGTGACATCCTGTCAGATGATGCAGTTGGCATTAAAAACCATTACCACTGTCCGGGTGTCATCGATGTGCTGTTAAAAAACTACATGGGGATCTTACCGTTGTGGAGTGGTTTGTTGCTCGGGGATCTGTCACGGCATGGAAAAATCAGAACCTGTAAAACAGATGGAAGTGCCAAAACTAGGGATACCAAC